AATTTCTGCGGTTTCGTGCGGTTTGTGCTTCAATCAAGACTTCAACAACAGTTTCTAAGACCAAAATTAGGTAAAGTTTATGAATTTTTTACTTTGATTTTGCCGAAGTGGTGCTCTCATTTCTCCCTTTCTGTGGTTGATTTTGGGTTTTTTGGAGGGAATTAGGGTTAGGAGTGAGAATGTGTTGAATGTGTTGGAATTGTTAAGGGTCCTGACATCGTTCCTCCTCCCCCTTTATGTAGAAATTAAGATGTCTTCAGAAGAGGCCATGAGTGTAGTGGGGAGTGAAGTGATGCCCCTGGATTACGGGAGTATGGATACGGAGAGCAGTCCGTCTCCAACTAGTTCGGAGAGGACGGTGGAGGAGAGGAGGGATGAAGTAGTAGTAAAGGAGGAGGAAGAGGAGATCCCCTCAAACATTTTGGAATCTGGGGATGGTGTAGATGGGTGCTATGACCCAGACTTAGAGATAGTTTCTGAGGTGAGGGGGTATGTGAGTGAACTAGGGAGTAGAAGTAGCCTTATGAGGTTAGTAGGGAACTGTAACCTTCCTCACCATGTCTTAATCAGGCCTGCCGGGATGAATGAGAGGGCATGCTCAGCACCCCAAGACCATTGGATGCCCATATACCTGCATTATTTGATTGCAGGGCTTAGGTTTCCCATTCCAGAATTACTGGTTGGGCTATTATTAGATTATAGTATAGGAATAACCCAACTAACTCCAAATGCCATGAGGGTAGTAATAGGTTTTCTTGTATACTGCAGAGTTGGGGGGGTTGGGGTCCCTACAGTGAACATGTTCAAACATTTTTTCATAATTAGGGTTGGGGGTGGGGGGGAGAAGGGGTGGTATTACTTCGGTACTCGGTCGTCCAGCAAAGAGAATAAGAATTTATTCTTTGCTGGATCGTCATCCATCAAAGGGTGGAAAGAAAAAATTTTCTTTGTGGATGACACCGAGTGGAGTAGGAGGGATGCCGAAGTGGAACAGTTGTCTGCTTGGAAGGCTAAGAAAACCAAGCAGAACAACTATAAGTTAAATAAGGATGAAGTAGAGGAGGTAGAAAAGCTAGTGAGGGAAGAAGGAGACCCAGTGGATATCTTGTACCTCACCAGCCCGGAGGCAATAGAGCCTGCTGAGCTCTATGGGCCGAGCTCATTGAGCAAAGGTTTGTGTATGTTGTTACCTTTTGCAGCTTAATTGATTTTCCAGTTATTGTGTTTTAACGTTTGCTTTTGCTCTGCAGCTGAGATGAAGGATTTTGTCAATGCTGCTGGAGGACTGCGCATCCCAATGAAGCCAAGGAAGAAGTCAACGACTTCAGCTGTGGCGAACAGAGGGGTGCTAGAGAAAGAGCGCCTGCCCAGCACTTCTGCTCGAGTGTTGGAGGTACAGCAGAGGCCAAAGCCAGCAAGGGGGAATAGTGAGGATGTGAGTGGGGAGGTGGCACCACTCCAGAGGAAAAAGAGGAAGGTGGCTGAACCAGAGGTGAGGGGGGATGAGGTGACTGAGTTCATGCCTCGCCCCTCGGCTCTTGAAATCATTCCTAAAGTCAGGGAGAGGGAAGAGGCCGAGGTGCGAGGCCCTGGCAGGGGCAAGGAGCTCATCCCTCCTTACTTGCACGAGAAGAGTCTGTTTGAGGCGGCAAACATGACTGGGGCTAAGCACTTCCTCAACCGCACTCTCCTTGAGGTGGATAGGAGGCAGGCGAAGGATGAGGCGGTGAGCCAGCTAGGAGCTACCGTTGTGAGGCATGCCCTGGAGGTATGTAAGGGAGCTGTAAGTTAATCTTGTTTTATTTTTACTTCTGTGTTTTAAGTCTGACTTTTGCTGACCTTGAAGAGTGCAAGCTAGACAAACGCTTTGGTGTAGGAGTACGCGGAGAGCTTGAGAGATCATGCCAGCTTGTAGAGGTAGTGCGAGCAGCTGCAGAAGGAGAGGGAAGAGCTGAAGAAGGAGAAGGAAGAGTGGGAGAGGGAGAAGAAGGGGATGCAGAGGAGGCTGGATGAAGTTCTACCTTCAGTGACCGAGCTCCAGAACGAGAATGATGTCCTGAGCACGAAGCTTGTCCTCGAAGAGCGTAAGAGGAAGATCTTTGAGGAGAAGCTCCAGGCTCAAGACAAGTATATTGACAACATGAGGAAGGGAGCAGCGGAGCTGAAGAAGAACGTGAACCTGCTAGTTCACAACGGGATGGAGGAGCACATTGGCAACTTCCTCAACTCCAGCACCTTTGAGAACATCCTCAAACTCTACCGGCTGCCAACCGCAATCGTGGCCTTCTCCGACTGTAGAAAGAAGGTGAAGGCCCAGTACCCAGAGGTGGATGTGACAACAGTCACTTTTGGGGAACAAGAAGAAAGGGTGGAGGAAGATGGGGAAAGCCTCTGTGCTGATTTCCGACCTTAGATCACGCTGAGGTGGGAGCGTGATGCAGAGGGGCTCACTATTTTTCCTCCAGCCTTTTGAGGCTGAGTTGGTGGCAGTGGGGGAGGAAGAAGAAGAAGAAGCACAAGGTGTTGGGGTTGAGGATCAGGCAGCTTTGGCTGAAGTGCAGCCTCCCGAGGTGCATCCAGTCTCTTCTGATGAAGTGCAGCAATCGGCCCCTCCCGAAGCAGAAGTGCCGCCTCAGCCTGCTGAAGACGAGCCCAGATCGCCAC